ATTTGGTCTATTCAATCTTGTTTCAGCATCTTCCAAATATCTAGAGCAAAAAGTTATACATTCCTTTGCCAAATACCCTTCAACAATTGATCTTTCTGGATAACGCTTATTACGACAATAATACTTCAATTTGCACAAAAACCTAAACACCAAACACAACTATATATTAGTAGTTTTCATTGAAAGATATATGCAATATATATTGAATACGTATAACCCAACCAGTACCTCTCTCTAGAATACATCCACCGATAGAAAATTGTCCACCAAGTTTAGCTTCATGAGGGAGATGAACTAGAAAATGCACCATAATTTTGAAGAATGAAGGTGGAAATATCTTCTTCAGATTGCATAAAGTCAAGGCGACTCAATCTTGCAGTTTCTCAGCTTCTTCAACCATGAGAACTTTCCCACAAATAAATTTCATTATATTGGAAAGTTCAATTATACAAGATGTACCTTATTCGACATGCAACCACGTAAAGTAATTGGCAATAAATCTTGCATCAATATATGATAATCAAGTGACTTTAGAGAATAAAGTCTTCAATCTTTAACACTGACTCATAGAGATATATTTGATGCATACCCATTTGGGACTTTTATATCCTTCAACACCGTGCAGAAGATTTCTTTTTCTTTCTTTGACATTGCAAAAATAGAAGGCGGTATCCAAGATTTTCCATTAGGAAGTAATTGAGGATGAAGATCACGCCGAATTCCCATGTCAACTAAGTCAAGTCAAGTCTTTATATTATCTTTAGATTTACCATCGACATTGAGAATGGTCCTGATAATATTCTCACAAACATTATTCTCAATGTGTATGACATCAAGATTATGTCTTAAAATAATATCCTTCCAATAAGGCAACTCGAAGAAAATACTTATCTTTTTCCACAAATCCACCTCATTTGGATCATATTCTTCATCAGATTCATCATCACTTTGTTGTTCAACATCATAATGATAAACCTATTTTGCCTTTTTTCTTTGGTCGTATATTTGGGGGTTGATTCATCTTTCCATAAGTAAACTTCATATGTTTCAACATTGATAAGATATCCGACCCGATTTTTTGTTCAGGAGCTTTTATAAACTCTTCAGTACCATTAAACAATTTTTTTGATATTTGAATATGTGATTTTCACATAACCACCAACGATGTCCCATGTAATAGAATTGTTTCCATTATACAACCACTTTGAACATGTCTGCATAGCATAAGGAAAAGCATAACGACCTTTGGTACTCCAACCATATAGATTTACATAAGTAGGGAAATCATTAGTAGTCCACATTAAAGTTGCACGTAAATTAAAGTTCTCCTTCTTCAAGACATCATATGTTTTGACACCCACCCATAATTGTTTCAACTCTTCAGTAAGAGGCTACAAATAGATGTCAATATCATAGTCGGGACCTTTCTCCCCAGGGCTTATCATTGATAAGATAAAGGATGATTGTTTCATGCAAATCTACGGAGGCAAATTGTATGGAACAAGTAAAACATGCCAAGTACCATACGAAGTACTCATTATTTTAAAAGGATTAAACCCATTAGATGCAAGACCGAGCCTGACATTTTGGGGATCTCTTGTAAAACTTGGAAATTTTTTGTCAAATGACTTTCAAGCTAAACAATATGTAGGATGCCTTAATAATTCATCATCTATTCGCCCATCATGATGCCACCTCATAGACTCTGCAGTCTTTGAAGACAGCTATAGATTAACTCTATTGCGGCGTTTGTATAAAAATGTCGCTAAAGTACTATTTATCACGACATCTGTTGGAAAAACGCCACTAAGAACGAACACTATTGCCGTATTTGTAGAAAACGTAGCTAAATTACTACTCTATCGCGACGTTTATTGGAAAACGCCACTATAAACTAACCCTATTACGACGTTTGTATCAAAACGCCGCTAACATACTACTCTATCGCGGCGTTTATTTAAAACGCCACTAAAGTATCATTTTTGTGGTGTTTGGATTGTAAATGTCTCTATATGTTTCAAGTTTGTAGAGTTTACTCTCCAAACGCCGCTACAGAACAGTTTTACTGTAGTGATTCCATTTAATGTCTTCCATTGCATTCCTCGGGTAAGAACTATCTACTCTCGTGATTGTAAACATGCCAAGTGACATTCAAAAGTAGTATTTCTTTGATATAAGTGTGATAGACATGAATTCAAGTCGAATTTTGTTTACTCTTGTTCATGCCCGTTAAATGTTATGATGATAAGAAGACATGGAGCATGGACTTTGAAGAAGCCTGCAAGGTAAAGGAGGAAAGACAAGTACACAAATTTAATGCTAAAGAGAGAGTAATATTGTAAAGACAAGTACACACATCTTGTAGACGCAACTGCTCGAACTCAAGAACTCTAGAAAAAATAATATTTTCTTTTAGGTCACTTAACGATTTCTTATATAAATATGATTGATGATGTTTTAAAAAAATAAACTTACAAATATTGGTGAGGGTATTTTGTCACAATTGGAGTCCATAATTTAGATGGCAGAGAATATAGTAATATATGTATTAGGTACAATCAAGATCTTCATGGAGGCTTCAATATATGCTACTAGAATTAATTAATAATACTTCATTTACGCAAAGTTTCTAGGAGCAAGAAACGTGCATCCCCAAACGAACGTTAAGCTAAGCGTGAAACAAGTTAAAATCACACATATAAAGCATACCCCAACACAAATTATCCCCCACAATCACTTATCCAAACAAAATATCCCCATCAATTTGTTACCAAAAGCCATTTCTTCTTTCTTTTTTTGGGCAGAACCTCCTGATGAATACTCGTCTTGCTTGTGCTCTCCTCATCTTCTTTCCGGCCTTATCGGTGGTGTCATCATCTTCCAACGCTTCCATGAATCAGGGTCAAACAATGTATCCGGATGTGGTCCACTATCGAGGTGGCGGTGCTACCAAACCATGTGACAGACTCTCCGGTGAGTGCGACGAATATATAGATGAATGGGATTCGGAGATGACTCGAAGATGGTTGGCTGGGAAAAGGTACATTAGCTACCGTTCATTGATGCAGAATGCCGTTCCATGCAACGAACGCGGGCGATCCTACTACAACTGTGGCGCTAGTGGACGGGTTAATCCCTACACAAGAGGGTGCAGTATCATAACCCTCTGCGCTCGGATCACTGATTAAATGATGCAAATCTATTCTATGGCTTTAAATTTTCGCATACACTTGCTCTTCTTCTTTTGAAACATTTAATATATAGGTATGGGTTGAGATTTTGTTTTGGATGAGACTTGTTACATTTATTTGTTTTTTTTTTTTGATGTTTTTAATTTAATTATTTGTATTTTTCAAAATGATTGTCAGTGTATAAATTTACACAGTTTATGAAATACAAATGTATGTGTTTTAGATTATTTTGGTTAATATTGATGTGTACATATGCACATTAGTCTATCTGATCGGTATAAGATTTTTGGTAAAAAAAGTATAATTTTTAGTTAAAAATAGCTTAAATGATTTTTAAAAAAAATAAGTTAATCTTAACAAAATTTGAGATTTCATTTCCGAATTTAGTCAAACTTAAACAAATATATATAATATTAAATCATATATAAATTTGACTAAAAATCGATTTGACCTAAGTAGTGTAAGCAATTCCCTCTTTATTGAATATACAAACAATGCTTTACTTGGACATAAAACAACTTGTTTTATATTATTTATATTTGTTTAAGTTTGACTAAATTCGAAAATGAAATCTCAAATATTGTTTAGATTAATTTATTTTTTATTTTTAAAAATCATTTAAGCTATTTTTAACTAAAAACCATTTAAGTTTTAATATAAAAGATGTTAATATTTTAATATTTTTGAAAAAAAATACTTAATTAAATACAAATTTAAATGTAAAAACTTATCTAGAACTATCGAAATAGTGTAAGAGAATTTTTTTGATATGTTACTCAAATGTGGAAACTTTCATTTAATAACAAAGGTGAAGCTAATAGGGAACTAAGGGGTCTTGACTCTTGACCTCCTCAAATTGGGAAATTTTCAGTTTAAGTCCCTTTAAATTTGTAAAGTTTTAAGTAAATGTATATTGAAATTACATTTAAGCCTCTTATAATGGTAAAACTTCAGTTTAACCCCTTTAAAAACTAAAATTATAAGTTAATACACTAATTAAATTACATTAATTTTTCAAAAATTTATGATTTAATATCAAAATTGAAGATCTGTCACATGAATAGATTATAAATCCAGTATTACTTGTAAGCATTAACAATATAACCGACCAAAAAGTCTTCGCCCTGTTTAATTATATATTATACAAACTTTAATCTTTTCTTTTTCTTGTTCTCTCAAGACTATGTTTTCCGGATGCCATGGGGCAAACTGGGAAGCAACAGTGGCGTGATCCACTTATTGATTAGGCTGAGACGGTTAGTATGTTCCATTTGGAAATTCAAATTATTTTTGATTAATTATTTTTTTATCGATTATATCTATCTTAAAATTTAATTTATATTTAATTTGTATAAAAAAATTATTTTATTAATATATATTTATCTATGCTGAAAAATATTCATGAAATCGACATTATAAAGTAAAAGTAATTCACATGGTGATAGCTGGATGCTTGCTGCCTTTGCTTGGATTGATGTGGTGGCTGTAGGCTGTTGGTATGATGTCTGTCTTTTGACGGGATATATTTGATATGTAGTCAAATAATATATATATATATATATATATATATTATATATATATATATTATACATATGATGTTTCTTCTGGGAAGTATCGCAGCAGTACCCTTCTTGACCGCTGCAAAGAGACGACTTATTTTACCTTATAATAATCAAACAAACAAGATTGCAACTTCTTAATTAGAATACTTCATACGAAATTTCCTGTTATATTTTTGAATTTTGTATACTTTATATTCAGCAAATTCCTTCGTGTATTTATACAAGGGCATATTCATGAAGTACATGAACAAGAATAAACCTGTTTTCTCGGACCCCAAACAGGAGAAGGGAAAATAATAATAATCATCATCAGGATAGTCCCATGTCAAATATAGTCGGTGTTGTATGTTTCTTTGTTCTTTGTTTGAGTGGTGGGGGAATGATGGATGAATTTGCTGAAGCGAAGAAGATGGTGGATGTGGGAGTAATTGTTGATCTAAATTCACTGGTTGGATCAGTGGCGAACGCATGCATTCACATGGCAATCTCTGATTTCTATGCTGCTCATCCTAACTTCAGGACCAGATTGTCTCTGCACCTTCGGCCCTCCGATGATGTTCTTGGTGCTGCTTTTACAGGTTTTTCTTTTCTCTAGCTACTTGAAGAAATTATTTTATGAATCTTGTTCGAATAAACTCGACAATCAGGTCATTAATCTATTTAAAATAAACTCCCAATTAATCATTCACTTTCATATTCATATATAAAAAAGTAAGTTAAAAATGAGACGAATAATTTTTTTGTTTGAGACCATGAATGATAATGATACGATGAACATGATTTATGTAATAATTTTTCCTCCTCCTAATAGCAAATAATTTTTTTTTAGTGTTTTAGACCATTCGAATCTCAGTGACACCTCCTATCACCTCCACAAAGTAATGAAAATAATATGTTTGATAATGGATAAGTTTATAGTATACGTCGCGTACCGTAATGTATTACTAAAGCGATATACCGAAATATACCACAAGCAAATTTATCATTATTATGTAAATATTAAAAAGTATAAGGATTTGTTTAAAATTAATCATTCATTAAAATTTAATTATAATTTTCATAGAATTGTAATTAAATTATATTTTTATTAAAAAATAATAATTAATTTAAGTAATTTAATTTGTTTAGAATTAATATTATTAATGACCACCTTCACCTGAAAAATCAACTGCTACAACATATGACGCTTCAGTTCGCCATAAAATCAATTGCTCATGCTATTTTTAATAATAAAAAAATGGGTAAGCTACACTTTTAGTACTTAAACTATTACTTTTATTCTGTTTTAGTACCTCAACTTTCAATTATTTTCAAAATCATACCTAACATTTACTTTTTGTTTCATTTTAGTAACCCGCCGTTAAAAAGTTAATTGTACATCTTACTGATATTTTTTATTTGGTTAAACTACACAGGTCATCACTCAACTATATTCACGCACCTATTTTGATCACTAAAGTTTTAAAAATAAAAAGTTAATTGTACATCTTACTGATATTTTTTATTTGGTTAAACTACACAGGTCATCACTCAACTATATTCACGCACCTATTTTGATCACTAAAGTTTTAAAAATTTAAATTTAATCATTAACCTTTTGAACTGCTTCTATTTTGATCTTCTCGGACTATATTATTATTTTTAGTATGACATGATAAATTAATATTTAACATCAATTAATATTTATAATAAAAATATATAATTTTAATCCAACCCTTAATCCTCAAACCCTAATCATCGATTCAAACCCCAACCCCATCGACATCACCCTCCGACCACCACATAAGAATCTCTTGAAAAATCGTTTGCAGACTGGAAACAAATGAACACAAAGAAACAAATTTAAGTTTCAAAAATATAGCAACGACCATCACCTTCACAAAGACAAGAAAAATGTAAACATTGCTCAATATCCATAATTGAAATAACAAAAAGCTTAGAGTTCTTTTTACATAAAAACAAAAACAGCAACAACAAAGGGAAAGCGCACAAAGTAGATGAGAATGAAGTTGCCAACCATACTTCCTCATTTTCTCTTAAAATATTGTAGTTCCAGAAAAAATATAATTAAAATAAAGAAGAGATAAAGAGTACGAAACAAAAACAAAACAAAAAATCTAAGTTTCTGTTTATACTTGTTTTCTTGCACTTTCCCTCATTTTTCAAGTAAAATAAAGATAACCCATTTCACTAGATCACCTACCAAACAAAAGCAACATTACCCCTTTTTACTTTCACAGACATTATCATAAAATCAAAATGAAAAGAATAAAGAAAAAGAACAAGAACATGATGAAGATAGGTATGGACTGCAAGGTTATTTTTTTTATTTTTTGTGTAGTTTCACTCAATCGTAGCATTGCCTCGTGCAAGGAAAGAGAAGGAAATGAAAAACAAAAACAATGGCTAGTCTGGGCTTTTGGGTTTTCTTTATTTCATGAAGATGAAGTTAAGGATGGGTTTAGATCGACGTTGGGTGTGGAGATTTAGGATTAAGATTAACGATTTTGATTTTGATTTTAAGTTTTATTTGACATTAATAATAATAAATTTGTCATGTCATACTAAAAATAATAATTAAATAATCCACATCATCAAAGAGAGATCAAAATACAAGTAATTTGAAAGTTAAATGATTAAATTGAAAACTTTTAAATTTTAGTGACCAAGATAGAAATGAGAAAATAGTTGAATGATTTGAATCGTGTAATTTACCTAAATAAAAAAATACCACGTCAGCTGTGTTGTTAACTTTTTAACAGCAAAGGTACTAAAATGAAATAAAACATAAACGAAAGGTATGATTTTGAAAAAAAATGAAAGTTGAGGAACTAAATCAGAACAAAGCGATAGTTTAGATACTAAACATGTAGTTTACCCTAAAAATTATAATTTAATTATAATTCTATTAAAATTATAATTAATTTTTAATAAATACATAATTTTAAATAAATCTTATACTTTTTAATATTTATATAATAAAGATAAATTTACTTATGGTATGTTTAGATACATTGCGTTGTTGTATGTAATGGTATATGACGTACGTTGTAAAAATTTTCGTTTGATAATATTATAAGTTAGTGGGTGCCCCTTATTATTTTAGTTGTACTTAATATATTTTCTTAACAAAATGATTTATTAATAAAATATTAAATTAATTGTTTGAAATAATATAATATATTTCTATTTTATAAGGTCTTATTTTTTATCTTTTACTTAAAATTCTGAAAAATATCTGACACGACTTTACTTGATGTAATGAATGAACAAATTTAGTTGAAAATGTTGTCATTAGACATACGTAGTACTTCTCCGTCTAAATTATTGATTGGATATGATTAATAATAAAAAAGGTGATTTTATTTTTCTTTTCAAATAATATATTTAAAAGAGTTGACTATACATTCACTTGATCATATATTAAAACGAATTTTACAATTATTAAGAATAAGTTGATCTAGTGAGACTAGATCTCTTAAGAAATGTCAAATGTTTGAATTTTTGATATTTTGAATGAAGCAAATTCGGTTGGGAGGATAATCGTCGCCTTTACAATATGCAATCTGAATTAGTCGATTAATAAATTTGATACTTATACTAAACAATTATAATAATTATTTTTCATAATTATATTAATAATATTTTAAAAAATACATAAATTATCATTTAATTTTTTTAAAAAAAGGTAAATAATTATAGTATAATTAATTTCTTCTATTGATCATCGATACCTATCCGAATTGCAGCACTAGAGTTGATTAATGAGGAGGAAGTTAATGCCATCATCGGACCACAAAGTTCAATGCAAGCTAGAGTTGTAATGGATATCGGCCAAAAGGCTCAAGTTCCCATCATTTCATATTCAGCAACAGCTCCCTCACTCTCCACAACCCAGAACCCTTTTTTCGTTCGAACAGCTTTAGACGATAGCTCGCAAGCTAAAGCCATCGCCGCCATCGTTCATTTATATGAATGGCACGAAGTAGTCCTCCTCTACGAAGACACTGAATACGGAAGCGGTTTAATCCCCTACCTATCAGAAGAGTTTCAACGGTTCGACATACGGGTGAGTTCGAGGTTTCCCGTCTCCCCAAACTCTGGTAACTTGACCATCTTAAAGAAGCTCAACAACGTAATGGCGACGCAGACGAGAGTGATCGTCGTACATATGATGTCTTCGTTAGGGTCTAAACTATTTTTTCTTGCAAAAGAAGCAACCATGATTAGTGAAGGATATGCATGGATCATTACAGATGGACTATCAAGTTTGTTGGATCCCATGGGAGCCGATGTCATTGGCTCCCATGCAAGGTGTGTTGGGAATAAGGCCATACATACCACAGTCCAAAAGCCTTAAGAATTTTAAAAGGAAATGGAAACGTGAGATTCACTCTAGTTCGACCAAATTAAACATTTACGGGTTTTGGGCATATGACACTGTTTGGGCACTAGCTAAGTCTGTCGAAATGGTTCAGCGTGAGAGTTCCGATATTATGAGACGAAGTTACCGGAGAAAGGCAAGTCAGATTCCTGAAATAAGAGTTTCTACAATAGGTCGATCGATCCGAAAAGAGTTAGTGAAAACCAAATTTAAAGGTCTCAGTGGAGATTTCAGTTTGGTTAGGGGACAGTTGCAGTCTTCAGCTTTTGAAATCATCAACGTGGTAGATAAAATGGAGAAAGTTTTAGGGTATTGGACCCTTGAGAATGGATTGACAGCAGAATTAGGCAAACCTGTGAAGGCGACATATTCAACCTCCTTATATCATGAACTTAAACCACCTATCTGGCCGGGAAACATGAAAGCTATGCCCCGAGGTTGGACGATACCGGTTGTAGGTAAGAAACTAAGGATTGGGATCCCTGTGAAACCTGGTTTTGAAGGATATTTGAAAGTGAAACAAGACCCTTACAGCGATGAGTTCATCGTAACAGGGTTCTCGTATGATGTATTCAAGGAGGCATTAGCGCTTTTACCTTTTGCAGTCCCCCTTGAGCCTATTCGTTTCCCCATTGGTAACAACACAAGTTCAGGAACATATGACGAGCTTCTTTACGAAGTCAAACTTCAGGTGCTTCGCCTAGTACTTAACCCGAATCTCGAATGTTTTTCCGTTTATTTTGACCACTAATTAATAGCCTACTCTTTGTGGTGGTGTAGAAATTCGATGCTGCAGTGGGAGATATAACAATTCTGGCAAATCGATCTCGATATGTAGATTTTACATTGCCTTACTTGCAATCACATGTGTCCATGGTTGTGAAAATCAAAATGATGGGAGAAAGAACATGTGGATATTCTTAAAGCCGCTGAGTTGGGATCTTTGGTTAACAACAGGGGTAGCATTCACCATGGCCTTCCATTTTCTGAAGATATCGAGACTTCTGATTTCTTCTTCAGAAAATAAACCCACACCTTCCTTGTTGAATCATCGATGAAGGTGACATAATATAGTGAGCCTGCAAGAGATGGAACTGGGGATGGTCCCCATACATCAGTATGAACCAATTCTAACCTTTCTGTCTTGGGTGTCTTGCCAATCTTTGCAAAACTGACTTTCTTTTGTTTGCCAAAGATGCAATCCTCGCATAGTCCGACATCTACATTCTTTAGATCCGGCAGCTTCCCTTTTGACAAAAGTGTCTTCATCCCTTTCTCGCTCATATGCCAAGCCTTTGGTGCCATAGGTTTGATTTTCCATCAGCATCTCTACTGCAATGAATTCTCTAAATTTGAGGTTACATAGAGAGTACCAGTCTTCTTACCACGAGCAATGACGAGTGCTCCTTTGGTAATCTTCCATTCACAGCCTGAAAAGGTTGTGCTATATCCTTCTCCATCAAGCTGTCCAACAGAAATCAGATTCTTTTGAGGCCAGGAATATGTCTCACTCCTGTCAGCTTCCAGGTGGTCTGGTTTGGCAACTTTAGTCGGATGTCTCCTTTTCCGACGATCTTTAAGGTTTCATCATCAGCAAGATGAACCTTCCCAAAATCACCACTGACATAGTTCTCCATGATTTCTTGGCATGGGGTGGAGTGGAAAGATGCCCCTGAATCCAAGATCCATGATTCATCGGACTGTTGACGCTTAGAATCATGGCATCACCTGTCCTCTGTCACGTTTGCAGATCCTGTGCACCGGTATCTTTCTTCAGTGCTCGGCAATCTCTTTTAAAGTGACCTTTCTTGCCACAATTATAACAGGTAAAATCTTTCTTCCCGTTCTAGATTTTTCCTGTCTGGATTTTGATCTGCCACGATTTGAATATCTTTTCTGAAGTTCTTCCTCTAGACTCCGTGTGCAAGGCTGATGAGGTTGATGCTTCACCCGATTCTCCGTCGAATTCTTCACTCAGTACCAGATCCCGAACATCGTCGAATTTTAATTTGCTGTTTCCCGACGAACTGCTGACTGCTGTAACAGTAGCATTCCAACTGTCTGTAGAGATGATAAGAGAATTAAAGCTCGAACTTCATCATCGAACTCAATTTCCACTGAACTCAACTGGGTTGTGATTGTGTTGAGTTCATTTAGGTGTTGTGCCACCGATGCCCCTTCCGTCATCCGCAAATTGAATAATCGCCTCATCAAATGAACTTTGTTTGAGGCCGGCTTCTCATACATACTGGAGAGAGCCGCCATAAGACCGCCGTGGTCTTTTCCTTTGCTGTTGAAAGCAACATTTCGGGACAACGTCAGTCGAATGACTCCGAGGGCTTGTCGGTCGAGAAAGCCCAGTCTTCATTCTTCATGCCCTCTGGTTGCTTTCCTGAGAGAGGTTGATAAAGATTTTTCTGGTACAGAAAATCTTCAATCTGCATCTTCCAAAAGCCAAAGTCCGCACCATCGAACTTTTCAATTTTCACCTTCCCTTCGTCTGCAGCCATCGCTTCCACTCGAATCTGGCTTCTTTTGGATCGTTTCTGACAATTCTTGCGAACCACCGTGTATTAGAACACCACCGTCGCAAACTCGTATCGCCGACCGAAATTTCACTATTCACGAAATTCACTATTCACGTGAATAGTAATGAATAGTAACCTCGCAGAAAAATTGACAAAATTCACAACCAAAAGCTCTGATACCAGTTGTTAGGAAAATAACCGAGTACAAGTAATTCCCTATAACCAGATTAGTGAGAATGCGAAATAAAAGCGGAAAAATAATACCCAAAAATTGATAACGAGTTCAGCCAATTGTGCTACGTCTCCGGGCTGCTGCAGATCTTTTACTAAGAGAGAAAATTTACAGGTGTTTACAAAACACTCACTACTCACAAGAAAGCTCTCTAGTATAGAAGAAAGAAATGTTTTGGGATGATTTTGAAGCTAATGGGTAAGGTATTTATAGTATAACTTAGGGACTAATCTTTGAAATACCCTAAAGTGCAATGACTAAAGTGAATTTACCCATTCCTATTTTCAACAAACATCTACCAAATTTTACAAACTTTGAAAAACATTTTTCAAAGAAACATTTACCAAACTTTGAAAAAACATTTTCCAAAGTTGGTTGCCAAACTTTGAAACTTTTAACACTTAATTCCAAGCTCAAGAAGTGTCGATTATCATCCTTATCTTCACTAAATTCGAATAGAATGCTAGCACAAGAAATTACCACCTTAGTTACCTCTACCTAAGCTTTAGAGAAAGGGGAAGCAGAAGACAAGGGCATGAGAAAGATGAACAAGAAGTTTTCATCTTTCCCCCAAAATCTTCCTTGGTGACATAAGCACAACTCAATGAAAATCATTATTTTTATTAACTAATGACCCATTTGGTCATTTCTCATTTGACCGCAACTTAAAAAGCTCTTTTCTATAGTCATTCAAACCATAATCTTATCTGATTGGGCCTAACCAATGTAATCATATTTTCACATCAATCTGTAAACCTTTGACATCATTCAAGGCGTTACAACTTTCTCTTCTCAAAAAAAATTTGTCATTGAAATTTACTTGAATTGAACAAATCTGGATATTGAAGTCGCATGGACTCCTTCAACTCTTATGTAACCTCCTTCGCTTCATGGTTTATCCACAAAATCTTCAATAGTGGAATTATTTTTGTTTCGAAGTTCTTTAACCTTTTTAGCAAAGATCTCCAATGGTTCTTCTTCATAAGACAAGTCCGAGCTAATCACAATATGCTCAATATAAACGATGTGAGATGGATCCAGACAATACCTCCTCAACATCGATACATGAAAAATATTATGAATACACATATGATTCATCTCCAATGATGAAATCAATCTATAATTTATGGATCCAATCTTATCTAAAATATCATATGACTAAATAAACATTGAATTTAACTTTACTCTTAAAAAATAATAAACTTTTTTTTGGGTTAAAAATAGATCTCATTATGAACACAAAAATTATTGTGGTGTCCTACTATTATTGATATTACTCGAACCAACTACTTTGACTTATTTTAGGGTAAAATGCTTAAATAATCTCTTGATTATAGGGAAAATTTTTCAAATCCTTTTATTTAAAAAATTATAAATTAATCATCTAATTTAAATGATAATAAGCCAATCAAAAAACTATTTGAGTATTTTATCCTAAATCGGCCTATCTTAAAACTGCCCTATTTTGACTTGGACTCTTTCCACCGCATTTTTGTCATGCCTTAAATATTTTTTTCCCAAGAAAAAGAAAAGATCCGCTTGCCAAACACATTTTTTTTCTTCATATTTTAGAATGGGTAAACCCACGGCAGATGAATAATAAAATTATTAAAAATACATACAAGAGAAAAGAAAATATTATTCGTTACCTGTTAAAAATCATTTTTAAGAAATTAAAGTAAATTATACTATAAGTTTTATAATTATTAGTACGACTATAAATAAATCATTTAATTTTAAAAAATTATATATGAATCATTTAATTATTCTATTCGTACTTGGTAGAAATATATCCTTGTACAAATAAAACTGTTATTAGAAAACGATATTAAAAATATCTTTTAATAATTTTCTTACTGAATAATTATATCATAAGTAATTTAATTTTAATAAGATTACAAACGGGTTACCAATTATTACTAATATTACAAATAGGTTTCTTAATTTTAAAAAATTATCAAAAAAATACTTAATTAATAAAAAAAATATAAAAGGAAACACATTTTGAGTTCTGAACTTCTCAAAGATTACAAATGAATCATTAATTTTGTGTTATAATTGACCCAGAAATTAATATTAAAAATGTGAGTAGTTTTTCAACAAAATGGAAATAGTATTTTTAGCAATGGAGTGGAAAAAGGGAGATTAAACGATATGAGTAAATAATCATAATAATAAGGAACTTATTGAGTTGCATCAGTTGTTAGAAAGAGTATTATTCTCCCTTGAGATTTTATTCGAATAGTTACGTCTGCAGAGTGTGTATTGTCAATGATTAAGAAAAATTATGAACATATATTACCTTATAATCACCCCATACTATTCAAAATGATAATAATAAGTGTAAATTACTCGTTTAGTACTTCAATTATTATTTTTGATCTAGTTTGTACCTAAATTATTATTATTTAGCATCGTTGATTTTTTAACAATGGGTGTCAAATTGAAATCTAAACTAAATATTAAATATGATGTTAAAAAAAATGAAGTTTAGATATCAAAATAAAATAAAAATAATAATTTAAATACTAAAGATATAGTTTACCCTAGTAATAATAATAACAATGATATAATAATATTGTCAATGAAAGTCGTCGGCAAGAACGCGTCCATTTCAAAACAGGCGGGGGAGGAAATGCTAAATTCACACCAAGGTAACATATTAGGCAGTCAACGCTCCCTTCCTTCTCTCTGTCTCTCAATATAAACTGCTTTTTACTTCCCTCTCTGAAGTTTTTCTTCTTCTAAATCTATTATTGTGCTTCTCTTCTTTCAAGTTTTTGGAAATTTTCAGTGTTAAAAAAAGGTTGCTTTTGCTGCTTAGTGCGATAAACCAAAAAGAAGAAACTACGACATGCATGGGAAAGATATTCTTCAAAAAATGAAGGTCAGTTGAAAGTTTAATCGTTTTTCTTAATCTTCGATGTACGTTTTTTTAAAGAAAAAAGGGGTTTCATATTGTTTAATTTCTTGCTTTGTTTCATCTGTTTATTTTGCATTTGGCGGTAGATTCAATGCATAAAACCAGAGTAGACTTTCTTGGTGTCACAGTTGGCTAATGGGTTTAAAGATTGTAATTTTAATAGTTTCTAGGGATGAGTTTGGGAAATTGTTTAATTGGGTTATGCTCATTCCATCTCAAAGGATTGTATGATCTATCTTTGAATTTTAACAAGATTGGTGCTGGAATGGAGCTCTTCTGATGATTAGTCGTAGTGGAAACAGTGATGGACTGAAGGCGGCTGGCGGTCACCCCTAAAAAATTTAAAATTTAAATTATCGTATAATTTAGATATTTTCTTTGTATTCTGATAATATGTTTTCGCTCCTAGAATTTTATAAGTTTGTCCCCCTCAACATTCATTTCTCCTTATGGGAAAGGTTCTGGTTGACATAGGAAATGCTTCATTTCAATATAATTGCATCATGTAGTTGAAAGTAAGGTATTTAGTCAATCTGTGATTCTAAGCAAGGTTATTTATCTTCGTAATTGGACCGTATTTGTCCAAGTTGTCGACAATCCGTCGGATGCTGCTGCTTGAGAATGTTCTGTCATAATATGGTGAATTGGTGACTTTCGTTTGTGGAACCGTGTAATGCCATTTTCATGGAAGACAATTGTCATCTTTGTGTCAAAAGCTATACGTTGCTGCTCTTCTGCTGTATACAGAACGAATTCGTGAAAGAAATTACCTAAGCATGCTGTTTCTGTGCACTTATATTACCTAAGTGTTTATGTTATTTACCTGGTGTGTTGTTTTCATCTGAAGGCGGGGCTCTTTCCGTCTGGGGCCGACACGGGGAAAGGAAAGAGCAAAATGTCGAAGCATATTACACATGGTTTTCATTGCCTGAAGGGAAAATCAAATCATGACATGGAAGATTATGCTGTCTCTGAGTTCAAGAAAAAAGATGATAGTGAGTTAGGTTTATTTGCAATCTTCGATGGACATTTGGGTCATGATGTTGCAAAGTATTTGGAGGGCCATCTGTTTGATAACATCTTGAAACAGGTAGAGATTCGTGTGATAATCGACCTATGATTCTGTCTCAATCCTTAAATAATGTATGTTTCTTATTGCATGCAGCATGACTTTTGGACTCAAACGGAGGATGCAATAAGAAGAGCTTATCACTCTACCGATGCCGAAATACTGGATAAAGCAAAGCTTCTAGGCAGGGGAGGCTCAACCGCCGTGACAGCAATACTTATCAACAGTCAGAAACTGGTAGTGGGAAACGTAGGTGATTCTCGGGCAGTTATATGCAAGAATGGTGTGGCAAAACAACTATCTGTTGATCACGAGCCAAGCAAGGAGAAGGGAATGATTGAGCGTCTTGGTGGCTTTGTATCGAACCTCCCAGGTATCTAGAATTCATACTAGTAATTCTGCTTCCACATGCCAAAAACTCGATTTTGATGGTTTATCTGGTATCTGGAAACTTGAACGTCCCTTATTATCTGATCCTCATAGGGGATGTTCCACGCGTTGACGGGCAGCTGGCTGTAGCAAGGGCTTTTGGCGATAAGAGTTTAAAGTTACACCTTAGCTCTGACCCAGATGTGACAGTGGAGGTGATCGATGATGACACGGAGTTCATAATTCTGGCCAGTGATGGGATATGGAAGGTATAACAAGTTTTACGATTCTAGTTTCATCCAACAAATCGAGATTCGAGATTTGTCGTATTTATCCCCGATCTCTTGGCAGGTCATGTCGAACCAAGAAGCAGTGGACACTATCAAGAACATAAAGGATGCGCAAGCAGCAGCAAAGCTCTTGATAGAAGCGGCAGTCTCGAAGAAGAGCAAGGATGACATCTCTTGCATTGTTGTATGGTTCCGGTGATATTTCTTTAGACAAGTACCACACATTTTCCCAAACAATTGGAGAAATTTAATAGCTAAATACATGTATATCATACCAAGCTTTTTTGAACACTTCTTAGCTTTTGGTGGTGTTGTTTTCTAATGCAATAATTAAGCAATTGTACTTTAAGTGCTTTCAAATGAATAATTAATCACCCTACTTAAGACCTAATTGACAAACGATTTACGTTTCAGGTATGAATTCTCTGAACTTCAAGCAATAGTGTTGATGGTAAAATGTGGTTTATGTGGTCTCAAGTATGAATTCTTGAAATTTTATGCAATAGTGTTGATGGAGAAATGTGAATTATAACAGTTAGAAGTTCATCCCTTTTGGTTTGGATGGAGAGTCTAGTTAATAAAGATGGACGTAAGATTTTATGTTAGAGAGCAAACTTCTAAAATTTTAGAGGGAATCGTACTTATAAAATTCTAGGGGAAGAAAATAGATTATCAATGAAAAAAGAAAAAAAATTAAAATATATGATAATTTGAGATTATTTAAGGGTGACAACTGTCTCCAACCGCTCCTTCCCTCTCAGTCGATCTCTAATCGATAATATTTTTCAAAGAAGAATGATGACGATCAACAATAAGAACGAGAAAGATAGAGAGATTCCTTTTTACCCATTGTGTCTGAAGGTTTATATATTGACCTTTAGTACATGTGGGTGTCAGACTTAAGATAATTATCGTTATTCATAGGTTAATAAAGTAAATTGATATGATTATTATATGACATAATTTATCAGTGATGAAATTAATATGATCAAATCAAAAGGTTACAATTATTCGGAAGATTTTGAAACTGTGACTTTATTCCGAAGACATTGATAAGAAATAGTAGGAATTGGAGGACTTTATTAAAGAAAAGCAATCTTTTTATGCAATGAAGAGATTGGTGGATGATTCGTTCCTTCATATCCTCATTTTATGTGGGAAGTTCTACGGTACAGTAGTTTTAATATACGATTAAAAAAAAGACGTTATCGATTTTGTTATTATTTAAATAATAAAATTAGGTAAAAAATGACTGAAAAAATTATTATTTCTATCGATTTTGTTATTATTATTAATTACCGATATAGGTAAACACGATAGAAAAACTCAATAAAAAATAATATTTTAGATAGCGCTTTACCGGATATATTACCAAAACCGGTAAAGCATCCAATAATAATAAAATCAGAAGAAATAATAATATTTTCGATTATTTTTTATCAATTTTATTATTTAAATAATAACAAAATCAATAACACATTTTTAATCGTATATTAAAACTAACTCATGTGCCCATTTTCTCTAACTTTAAGTTAATGAATGAAACCCCTTGGAGAAGGGGAAAATGCTTAGTCTTCTAAAAATCATTGACCGAACACACCCATAAGGCTTAAACACGTGTCAAAACCAAAATAAAACCGTCGGCCATTATATATATTAAATGATCGACAGCAGCTCACCCAATTTCCCAAATAACTTAAAAACCCTAGAACTTCCCAATTTGTGTTTATATACCCATCCTGCCCTCCCTCCCATTAAAATCATTCCCAATTCCTAGGGTTTTAGACAAAACCAAATCCTCCGATTGAGAAATGGCTACCGCGACGGGACAGGCGAACGCTAAGAGAAAGCCGGTGTTTGTGAAAGTGGAGGATTTGAAACCTGGTACGACTGGGCACACTTTGATCGTCAAAGTGGTGGAGACGACTCCTGTCAACACTTCCTCCAGGCCCAACAGGTCCCGTGCTCTCCTATCTCGACCTGCCCCTCCGACCCGAATCACTGAGTGCGTTGTCGGAGATGAGACCGGCACCATCATCTTCACTGCGCGCAACGAACAAGGTATCCTTTTTTCCCTCTTATCAATGATTCAATATGTATGTTGTTCAAAATTTATAGCCTCTGTATTTTCAATTGATTTCATTTGCTGTTGGACTTTATTGAACAATCGATGAAGAAAATTGGTTGTATTTGTATATAAGCTTTGTCTTTCTATTTCCAGAATGGGGTGTATTTTCTTATTACTCTGATATTTTACTTTTGATTGCGGAGTTGATCTTGAAACAGAGAAGAATATTAGTGGGGGGTTTTCGATGATGTGCCTTGGTTTTTTGTTGCTTGCGTATTACCATATCATGATTTTGATGATGATTATGATGAAATTTAATCTGTCTGATACAGTCGATCTTATGACGAAAGGCGCAACTGTGATTTTACGGAATGCTAAGATTGTTATGTTCAAGGGAACTACAATGAGGCTTGCTGTAGACAAATGGGGCCGGATTGAGGTAACCGAACCTGCTAAATTCGAGGTTAAAGAAGATAACAATCTTTCTTTAGTTGAATATGAGCTTGTTACTGTTCCTGATCAGGGTATGAATTAGGGGCTGATCTTATGAACGAATGAATATATATATAGGAGGTGAATACTTTGGTTTGGTTTAGTGTCATGATTAGTCCTATGAGATTGTTGTAGTACTTAATAGTATTTGGACATATCTCATTGTGAAATTGATTTGGACTTTCTTTTGCTTCTTGTTTATGCTATGAACTATCCGGCTTAACTTTGGAAAAATAAATTGTAGTAAAAAAGCTCTGTTATTCACTTCGACTTCCATATTTGTGATGGTACTTGATCATTGCACTCTCTACAAAATTAGTTTAATTGGTGTGCATGGTCGGAACGATGTAAAATTTGAAAGAAAATACAATTTTCAGGGGCGACTGCGTCCGCTCACTTCCCCTTTGGTCCATCTCTGCACGTATCCACCTAAACTTCTTGTAAATCCGCCATTGATTTATGGTTAAAACACAAAAGTAGGGTTTATGGTTAACTTTTAAGTCACTTCTTGACAAAATTTGAAACGCAATCTCCTCGACTAATTTAGAACCATTTGAGACTTGAACACTTTTATGATTTGTCGTGAACTTTACACTTTATTCAATTTAATCCATAAATATGATTTTTGCAAAAATAATCTCTCCATCAATTGATCATCTTACTCTCAATTTTCCCATGTGCCTCTTGAAAACATGAAAAGATTACTTGCATTATCGTGGAGATTAATAATTAATTCTTGGAGAGAGGGCAGCCAATTCCATGGCGCTTACTAGGGAACGAAACAAACAAAAGGCAGCCTATGGCTCCAATGCATTCAGGCAACAACTTCAGCCACAAATCATCACCGTCCTACACTGTCTTCGGATGAAAGCAGTTTACAACATTTTGCTCAAACAAAACAAGCGCTATGAAAATCATTACGGATACCAAAGCATGGAAAAAATCAATGAACTTGAGCTTATACTTGTTTGCCTCCTCTACTGATACTTCAACCTTGCCATCCATCACCCATAGCCCTCTAAACGTAGCCACCCCGTATTGGACCTTGCCTCTTTCGTCTCTGACTGTCAGAGAACAAAATAAAGAAATACATGCTTGCGCAAAATGCAACGAGGCCGAGCAGCGAGTTTCGACAAACCTCGGTTTTGCACCTGCCGTTGTTTGTTAAAATCAGGGACAGTAATTGGAACATCAGGGCAGAGCCCGTAGGCAGGAGCTTGGACAAAACGGTGGTTCCTTTGAACGTCTTTCTCACGATCTTTTGTTTCTTGGTCTTTGGTTGATTTAATATTGGCTGTAATAATGGACATTCCGACTTGGTTTCCGGCTTCGACATTCTTCAAGAGAGGTTGTTCGTGTTCATCAGATTTGATGTCCATGAAACTAATTGCTTGAGGTTGATTTTGATCTTTCCACAATGTAATCTGCAGAGATTGTGCGATTGGTGGGAAAGAAATGGGAAGCATTTGTAGGGAAATGGGAACCGTCGAGTGCATTGGAAACAGCTAACGAAAACATCAGTAAATTTGGTTCCAAACAAAACAATCATCCTACAAGTTCTTAATGTGTGTATATGAACAAAATAAGTTACGTTTTAAAATATTTTAGTTTGTAGAATACTAAACGTAGTTAGTTTAATGATATGATAATTTTATTAAAGAGATTAAATTTTAATTTAAGGTTAATTTAAGAAGAATTTCAACCTAAAATATTATTATGTTCAATCTAAAAAGTTAAAAAAATTATAACATTTTCAGTTACAACAAAAAAGTTAGATTGTGAGAGTTTAGACTTTACAATTAAAAATATTATGCATAATATAACATTTTAGATTGTAACTTATCTGATTTAAAAAAAATTACTCTGTCTAACCTAAAAGGTTACACTCTTATAAATTCTTAATTACAAATAATATTTTTTCTATTTTTTAACTTTATATTAATAAATTGTATTTTAGAATTTTCTTATATCTTCCATTCGTGCCTGTTAGGTGTTGTCTTAATTAGTTTACTTCATCACATAAATGTGTTAAGTCATTATGGTATTGCTCGATGTTAACTGTTAACTTACAACCCACGAGTAACACATTTGAAAGCTACTTCCCATTTTCTTATTTTTTTTCTATGTTTATATCAGCAATTTCTAAAATTCACACTTGCCCACCACTTGTAAGTTATTTAAATTAATTTTTGAAAATTAAATATTTTTAAAGTATCTTATTTAAAATTTAAAAAGTATAATGATAAAATATCTCAACATTCATATAAATGATAATTTTGTTTTATATCATTTTTTAAAGCATTTTACTCATGAAATTTTAATTTTTGATCAAAACAAATTTTATTGGATAAAACCGTTAGACATTAGTTAACTAATAATCAACTCATGTTATGGCATGTATAACATTAGTAATTAGAGGATGTTGATACAATATTGTATCAACATCATAAATTAATCGTTAATAAACTAACAATTTTCATTTAACATAAGCTTTTTTAATACAAAATTAAAATACCAAAAGATAAAATATTTTTTTTAAAAAAGCAAAATAATCATTCGCACAACTCTTATATCCTATATTGGATAGAATGAAAATTTCTGTCTCCACCAAATTTACAATTATTAGACTGAAAGCTGTGGGTTATAATTTTAATTTTGTTGGGGAAATAATAAATAATTATAAATTTTGGGATGCATGAAACAAAAAAACAATATATATGCGAAATTAACGGATCTTACAAACTTGACGTTGAATTAAATATGGAGACGTCGGTCATGAAATCACCGACTGGACTGGATAAGAGCCATGATGGGGGGGGCCAAGTTCTGTACACCTACTCCGATGTTTAGGCCGATTTTCATAATTTAACCAAATTATTATTTTTATTTCCAAAAGTTGACCTAAAAGTAAACGCTATTGGCGCGTGTTCCCAAGAGCATGACCATTTCAACTACAGCTGCTCTTGGATTCTTCCTGCAATCACCATTAAACCCTAATTAAATTATTAAAAACATCAGGGAAGATGACATTTCTTCATGATGGAACAATGTGTGTGCTTTCCTTTTGTCTTTTTCTGGGTTTTGATTCTCCTCTAAATGGACATGCTAACACATATATAACCTATTTTTCCTTCGTTTTGGAAGATATGGTCTTCACTTCTAAATTTATAGACTTGCATGTAAATGAAGGAGGATTTTCCCTTCAAATTAAGAAACAAAAACATAGGGATTTGTCCAAGTCAACTCGGAAACAACGATGAGTCAGACGGGACCTTCAATGATGATGACGTGCTTAGGCCCCTCGCCTGCTGTGATGATGTTTCCATGATGCTGCACGTTCCTTCCCCTTATAAAATCAATGGAGAAAAGAAGCTCAAATATGTTTTTACTATCTTTTTTTTTCTTTCAGCTATTGAAGAAGATGAAGATCTTGGTACGTGGTTCAATCATGACAAGAAAAGGTCACAATTTTAGTTGAATAAATAACAGTTCCTCCTGCAAGTTTAATCCTACAAGAAAGGGTAATTTCTTTGATTTTCTCCCTGCTCTTTCCTGCTGCTAATTTGGTGAAAACAAGTAAACTTCGATGGAGCAATAAAGGTTCAGAGTTAGCGTTGCCGTTATTGACTTGCTTGCTTCCCATTAAATCCTGAAGCTTTGTAGTTTGTTATTCGACCGTAAAGCTTCAGGATTTGTTGCTTTCAACTAAAGGGGTCACCATGTCTTACTTGCCCGCTCGAAAGGGGAGACACAGACAACGGTACGAGGATCATCTGAGGCTTGTTGCAGGGTAATCTCCAAATTTCACTGCTAATTCGTACTTCTGTAGATGCATCAGTGCTTTATTCCTGGTGTTTGTGGTGCAAAATATAGGTGTATTCCATACAGACTGGAGAATGATGCTGAAGAAAGCAGGATCAGTGTTCTAATGATATCCACGCCGAATCGTGATGATCTTGTTTTCCCCAAAGTATATATACTTCCCCCCTCTTCTCCATTCCCTAATTAGATGCTACACATGGATGAAAAATTTCATGTCAACATGATTTTCCAGGGTGGATGGGAAGACGACGAGACCGTGCACGAAGCGGCATGTCGAGAGGCCCTCGAGGAAGCCGGAGTCAAAGGAATACTCGATGTAGGTACCAATTTGATCGAATTGTTAATGAACATACGAATTAGTACATGCTCCATTGGCATGATGATGAAGAAAGACACTTCGGTTTTTATCCAGGAGGATCCACTGGGAGTGTGGGAGTTCAGAAGCAAGAGTAGACAGAACAGCTGCAACCTTGAAGGTGGTTGCAGAGGCTACATGTTTGCCTTGGAGGTGACCAAAGAACTCAATTCGTGGGCCGAACAGATCACTTACAACAGGAAATGGGTCAGTAATAACCAAGAAACCAAGCCTTATTTTTTTAACAGTACGAGATGATTACAAAGTAGTATCTTTTGTTTAACAGGTTTCTCCCGAAGAGGCTTACAAATTGTGCCGGTATGATTGGATGAGAGAAGCACTGGGAGCACTGTTGAGAGGGATAGAGAAAAACAGCAAGACGGAGGAGCACCAGCACCAGATATTATCAGCTGGTTGCTCTGCAAACCCATCAAACCTTGAAGAGTCTTTTACAAATAAGTGTATTGTGCAGGGTTAATGACTGCAACTCCTAGTCCTAGGCAAATGTTTGAGTTAGATATTTGGTTGTTGATAGCAAATGTGAAGTGGACATGTTTGTTAATGTAATTAATAGAATGATTTTCATTTCCACAAACATTTTCCTTTTATCTTGCTATTTTGGGTCCATGGTGTACCCTGCTTTCTCAATGGTCTATAGGAAGAAAGAAATGAAAGGGGTCCAGCCAACCAAGAATTTCCTTTGTTGAAATAACAAACAAACAATAAATAATGTTATAAAGCCAAAATGCTAGCTGTGAACCTTTGTTTGGTATAATGTACAACAATTTAGATTATATAACTTCTTTTTAAGTGATTATAATTAATATATACTCAGAATCTTTCTTAATATATATTCAGAATATTTTTTAATTATTAACGATATGTATACACTTTACAATTGCTTGAATTCAAGATTTTTAGAGAGAAAATAATCTCTTTTTTACCACGAAGACTACTCAATTATATAACAATCACATCGCTTGCAATAATACTATTAAGGGTAAATTACACGTTT